TTTTCATCTCTCTGTCTTAGCTATAATCTCCTTTTCCTTGGAATGGTCTTAGGAGGCCTTTTTGTCTTGGTTTGCTGTGTTATATCCTGCACAGCTCTGGCAAAATCTTAAAAACAAAATTAAAAAGTAAATGGGCAACAAATCAAATATAACTGTCAATGAAAGAGGGAGAAAATGCATTCATTGGAAATTATGCTATCTGTTTTAGAGACCAATGCCTAGCGCTGGGGTGGGTTTACTATTTATGGGGCAAAGCAACGGGGAAAGAGGTCTAGATCTGCAGCATCCATGGCCCATGTTAAGGACCCTCCAATGGCACAACTTTATACAAGTCACTTGACCCCTCTGGGCTTGCAGAGGGAAGACACTGCTATTCTGACTCTCACAGTTCCCATCCCACTGGGTACAACTTACTGAGATGCACAATTCTATTGCAATAACACTTGATAGGAGCAACACCTCCTGTCCCACCTGCTGAGCTCATAGCAGCTACTTGGATCCATAGACTAGATGAAGGAAATCCATTCCGCAAAGTCATTCCCACCTTGGACTTCCCCAAAGGAGAGTGGGCAGCGCTGCTTGGGCCTCTGACATGGGCAGAGTGGCTTCAGGCATAAGAATCGTATGACTCCACAAGGTTGCTCCCTTGTTGCACGTGCATCCCAAGCTAAATAAACATGACCACCCTTTGATCAGCATCCCCTTCCTGCTGGGTAAAGGGGAAGCGATGCTAATTAAACTCAGAACTCACAGGAATCCCCTGTTCCCGAGGCCATATTTATTTCTTCAGACTAGCTAAAAGGAAAAACTAAAACTTCAAGAAAACACACAAAATATAACCCTGCCTCATCCGTGAGGCTTTTCTGCTTCACTCACATGGTGATTTTTTTAACCTTTTCATCCCAAAGGACTTTTGCATCCCCTCCCTCTGTTAACCAGAGGGCTAAGCAAGGGCATCTAGCATGACCCACGGTGTAAGAGCAGAGTGCCAGGAAAGGCCACGGAGCCATAAGGAAGGAGGGGAGGCAGAGAGGGGCATGTCAAAGGAACCCAGTGGGGAGCAGATATGCAAGAAGGGGGTTACAGAGTTTCAGAGCCCAGTGCAAAAGAAAACGGCAGTTCCCCATGTGCAACATGATTAAGAATGTAGAGCCCTAGCGGGTTTGGCTCAATGGATAGAGCGTCAGCCAGAGGAAGGGTCCCGGTTTGATTCTGGTCAAGGGCACGTACCTCAGTTGTAGGTGGGAAGCAACCAATCGATGTGTCTCTCTCACATCAATGTTTCTCTCTCTGCCTCTTCCCCTCCCTTCTACTGTCCCTAAAAATCAATGGAAAAATATCCTTGGGTGAGAAAAAAAAAAAAGAACAAACAGAAAAAGAATGTCAAGACACTGATAGCAGAGCATAAGCGCAGTACAGGGTCCCTCGTGCATGGGCCACAGCCGTGGAGCTGGCCCTGGGTGTTTGGTGACTGGGACCTGCTGCCCCTTCCAACAGTGTTCTGACCCCAGAACCCCATTTCCACAAACCCCTCTAAGCTGTCCGAGACACGGGGGTTTGAAGGCACTCCAAGTAAGGGGATGCGTTGTTACTATCTTCTCTTCTCCCAAAACTCTGTTTGCTTGTCCAGGACGGGGGAGGGTTAGCTGAGAGGTGACCTCTCACAGGCGCTAGAAACCTTCCCCAAAGGACCGAATGTGAAGGCAGAAGCCATGCCTGCCAGCCAATCTACTTCTCCTCAGTTGTGAAGAGAAGAAAAAATGAGCAATAATTGAGCATGTTCTCTGCTCCAGACACTTTTGTATAGAATAGTTCATTTAATTAGGGAGGGAAGGGTGCCATTCAATCCTCAGAATATTGAATTGTATGCCCCATTAAATATGTCTCCAAAGTGGTCTATCCCCCTGTCTGATTTTTCTCCTGTGACCTTTCTGGCTCAGTCCCTTAGCACCTGTGGGAGTGCATCAGAGGGGGAGGGAAGGAGACCTCCCCTAAAAGAGTTTAATTTCCTGATAGATTGGAAGGAAGTGTGAATGTTAAGTTCAAGAATAAAGCCACTTAATTTTTTCCATTTTTTTGAGGGCAGAAGACAACAGAAGTCAGGGTTGGGGAGCATTACCTTTCCCGCTGGGTCGAGGGCTGAGAGAGGCTCCACGGCCCGTGGGGAATAGAGTGACAGGCACTTCAAAGAGGGTGGAGCTCAGCCTGGCAGAAAGACCAGAAAGAGGTAGTCACCATCTCCAATTCATCAAGCCACACAGATGGTCAGGGGGTAAAAGTGACCCACTAATTATGAGCAAAAATAACAAAAGCGTTCCCTAGATCAAACTTCTCACGAACCACATAAACATTTGCACACTGGATGAGAATGTAAAGGAAATAATCATTGCTTTGAGCTCAAGTCACAAACTGTGAAACACAGAAACATTGTAAAGTGGGAATTGCTTATAATCTCACAATGCCACTACTATGTTGAACAGGGGGTTTTTTTGTTGTTGTTTTGGGGGTTTTTGTTAATATATTTTTATTGATTTGAGAGAGGAAGAAAGAGGGAGAGATAGAAACACCAATGACGAGAGAGAATCATTGATTGGGTGCCTCCTGCATGCCTCACACTGGGGATCGAGCCCACAATCCATGCATGTGCCCTGTCCGGGAATCGAACCATGATGTCCTGGTTCATAAGTCGATGCTCAATCACTGAGCCATGTCAGCTGGGCAGTTGTTGTTTTGTTTTTTAATAAAACAATGCCCATCCCAGGCTGAAGTATTTAGGGTAACCAGGGTTTAATATCTCCAATTTGTTATTTTTTAAATAATATGAAATATATATATATATATATATATATATATATATATAGAGAGAGAGAGAGAGAGAGAGAGAAAGCAGTTGAGACAAAACATAACAAAACATAAGCAACTGGTGAATCTGTGTAAAAAGCATTCGGGAGTTGCTTGTTCAATGCTTATAACATTTCTATCAACTTGAAATTAGTATATTAAGACTTATTTTCATAAATGTGTGCATAAAATGTTCACTGTGACATAAATATAATTTGGAATTATGCATGATACATTGACCGTAACGAGAGGAAAAAAATCTTACTTTCCCTGTTAAACACTCAAGTAATTGCTGCTAAGACAGAGCACCCAGAGAAAAGAAAGAACTGCTCTTTGTGGGATACTTCTGGGCGCTTCTATTTTAATTCAATCTAAACCTCAAATAGCATGCTGAACCGGTTTGGCTCAGTGGATGGAGCGTCGGCCTGCGGACTCAAGGGTCCCAGGTTCGATTCCGGTCGGGGGCATGTACCCTGGTTGCGGGCACATCCCCAGTGGGGGGCGTGCAGGAGGCAGCTGATCGATCTCTCTCATCAATGTTTCTAACTCTCTATCCCTCTCCCTTCTTCTCTGTAAAAAATCAATAAAATATATTTTAAAAAAATAAATAAATAAACCTCAAATAGCAGCAAGAATGAATCAAAGAATCACAACTAAATAGAGAATCAGAATCCTTATATGAAGCAGTGGTCTCCAATCTGCTTTCTGATGATAAAATTTGATATGAATATCCATACAGCCATAGATGTAGATGTAGCTGTAGATAAAGATACAGATAACATAGATGTAGGGGTAAGTTAGGAGTGGGTAGAGATGATATTGATGTAGTTGTAAGTGTAAGTATAGATGTATATAATGTATATAATATAAATATAGGTATGGATATAGATGATATACCAGTAAATGTAGATGTAGGTGTAGGTATAAGTATAGACTTAGATGGTGTGATTGTAGATGATATAGATGATACAGATAATACAGATGTAGATAATGTAGTGTGTAGTTGTAGATAAAATAAATGTAGGTATAAGTATAGATGATATATACTGTATGTAGATTGTGCACATGTAAGTTTAAGTGTAGGCATAGATATAGATGATATAGGTAGAGATGTAGATGATGTAGGTAATGTAGATGTGCACATACATGTAGATGGTGTAGATACAGATATAAATGTAGATGTAGGTTTAAGTGTGGACATAGATGATGTAGAATAGAAGATGTAGATTTAGGTCAGGTAAAGGTGTAGATGTAGATGAGATAGAGACAGACTGAGATTTACTTCCCAGCTTGAAGTGAGTGGCGCTCAAGTCACAGCTCCATTACAAACAAGACCAGCTAGCATATTGATGGCCACCTTACAGACCCAACCAGGTGGTACAAATCATGCTGGCAGTAGCAGTAATAACACCAATCACTCGAAGTACTTGTGATACCAGGCACTGTGCTAGGAACCTCACCTGCAGCATCTCCTTAAATACTCCTGATCATTCCATCTGCTAAGACAGTTATGTCCCCAGAGGCCCGTGGAGCAAATAGTAGCCTTCTCCATGAGGCCTTTTCTGACTGCCCAACTCAAAATTTGAAGCATTCCCACCATCAGCCTCATCTCCATTCCCCTCTTCCCTGCTATAATCTTCTCCACAGCACTTGTCAGAGGTCATACTCCCTCTGTTACACAGTCATTCATCATCTGCCACCCCCACTAGGATTCAAGGCCCATGAGACCATGGATTTTTGTGTTTCACTCCCTGCCACCTGCCCACTGCCTAGAGCTGGCACACAGAATGCACTCAACAAGGATCCGTGGAATGAGTGAGTGAGCAGCATGGAGAGAGAGGCACTCCCTGGCTGTCCCTCTGTGACCACACCTGTTGCCTTCGTTCTCAATGATCCGATGATAGCGGTGCAGCTCGTTCTTCAGGGTTTGCTGGGCGACCACCAGCTGCCGGCAGTCATAGGAAGACTTCTCCAGGCTCCTCTCAGTCTCTTCAATCTCCTTCCTCAGGGTTTCAATCTGTTCATTATAAAGCTGAATCTCGTCATCGTAACACTCGTGGGCGTCTTTAATAGCTTGTTCCAGGGTCACTGTCTGTGGGCAAAGACACAGTTGTAAGGAAACCCATCCCATCCTCTCCCTTAAGACCCAGACTTGACAGGGAAAATCTGGACTCGGCGTGTCAAGTTTTGTTTATTTCTCATCAGCGATGGAATCATTTTGGAATCCTTAAGCCCAAGAGGAATGTGAAAACTGAGCTCCCTCTCCTCACACCTGCACAGCACCCAAGGAAGTCAGCCCTCAACGTAGCCCCCCAAAGGCAGTCTGAAGATGACAACCTCAGGAAATAAGAAGACTGCTGTCCATGGAATAAAATGTACAACTCAAATAAAGTATAATCTTCATACTTTAATGTGTTGGCATAAATCTGATAGCCAAAAAATAAGTAAAAAGAACAGATACTAAACAGATAAGATGCCAATTTTACTGAAATAATTCAGGGGGAAAGTGTTTCCTTGTTCTTATTTAATCACTATGGTGCTTTAACTTTCCCCTGATTATATGTTTTGGTAGCCAAAATGTGTGTGCGTGTGTGCACGTGTGTTTGCATGTGTGTGCACATTCGTGTCTACATAAAATAACTTCAGGGAAATACTATTTACATATTAATTCAAGGGAAGTCAAAATTAAGGTGGGAAAATAGAAAAAGTGGCCTTATATTCACTTTTAGAGCTTCTGACAATGTACAAAGAGCCATTTACAAAACCAGAAACAGATTCAGTGGTTGCTAGCGGCAAGCAGGAGGTGGGGAAGGGGTTGACCACAGCTGAGGGAATTTTGAGTGAGGGAACTGTCCTAAATCTTGATTGTGGGTGGGTTACTGCATACACATGTCAAACAGGCATACTGTGCACTGAAGATGGTGACACTATATGTAAAGATCACCTCAGTTTAAAAAATTATGAGACCCTTGGAAACGTGATCCATCACTGGACACTTAGTGATATTATAGGATTACTATTAACTTTAAAGGTGGGTTAATGGTCTTGCATTCTATAAAAATAACCTCCGCCTGCTGGACATGTATGTGGAGATGTTGCTGGGTAAGATGACATGGTGTTGGGACTGCTTCAGAATTCCACCAGGGGGCATGGGCGGGAGGATGGAGACCTGGGGTCCTGAGACTGTCCTCTCACTTTTATCTGTTTGAAGTGTTCAGAACAAAGAGTAAAAGAAAAGACTGTGTATGAAGAGACCTATCGCTCCCTTTGGGTAGGGGTTCCCCAGCCTGGAGTGAGAGAGTAATGACTGTGTTGGTGAGTTCTAATGTGGATCAACTCATCAGCCTCACAGCCTTAGGCTGTTGTTATTCCCACTTTACAGATGAGGAAACTGAGGCACATAGGCAGTGACTTGCCCACAGATACCACAGCAGGATTCAGACCCACCTGTGTGGGCTGAGACACTTTCAGGAACTAAGGACCCTGCTGCCTCAGCCTCCTCCCAGCTGTTGAGAAACTGTGCACACTCATGCGCACACACACACACTCCCAGGCCCAGGGAAAACTCCTCATTTCCACAGATGGACAGGCAAGTATCAGCCTACTCTTACAGAAGACACAAGACACAGGGGACTCGGTGTGAGCCCCATCAGCCCGCCCCCCCCCCCCTCCAAGTGTGTTTTCACTAGGAAAATGTCATCTGTAATCTTTGGACCACCAGGGCAAGCATGATCTTTCTTATATCTCATGAGTTGGTGGGTGGTTGGTGGCTGTCCTGTGGTAGAGTCTGTGGGAGGACCACCTGCCTGCCCAGGGCAGGAGGCTCCATGGATAAGTCACAACCTATGAATGGCACTGGTGCTCCACGTGGTTCTGCCTGAGAAACCAAGATTCCAAAGTCCAGTGACGAGGTTTATAAAACTGGACTTACACCCACATCTATGTGGCCCTTACAGCTCAATCATTTAAACTATTCATCAGTAGGAGGGGTGTTCAGGAAAAATAATAAGAGGCCCACCTTCACCAGCTCCAAGGAGGCTCACGCGATGTATCTGGGTGAGCTACCTCAGCACAGGCGTAGGGCGCTGTCCAACACCAGCCTGGCTGTCGGAGAACTAGACACAGACCCTCTGTCTAGGAGCCCACAGTTCCGTGGGGAAGGCAGCCCGGTCACAAAGACATGCCCCGGGCACCACGGAGCACACAGAGAGGCCCTCTGGTGCTAAAGGGTGACAGAGAAGGCTTCCAGGGGATAGTGGGACAGGTCCTGAAGAGAAAAGGGACTCCCAGAAAGAGAAGTGATGAGCAAAGGGGCAGGTGCCAGGAGCCACAGGACCACAGGAGAAGAGACTGCAGCCCACAGCCAGTCCAGGGCTTCTTGGAGGAAAGCAGCCAAGTGGACAGTGGACAAAGGCAGGCGGAAGGTGTGTGCCATGCGGCAACTTGAACTTCCTGAGCTTGGCAGTAAAGGTTGAATGAAAGAGTAAGTGTTCGAGCACAGCTGTGGGCTTGCCTTTGCACAGCAGGGGTAGACAGGGACCCAGGACAGTGCCTCACAGTGAACCCCAGCTGAAGGGTGACCTCCTGCTCAGTCCTCTTAGGCCCCCAGACTCCTTTGGATCCAAGGTCATTTTTAAAAAGGAAATGGCCTTGGCTGGGTGGCTCAGTTGGGTGGAGCATCATCCCATGCACCAAAAGGTTGCGGGTTCAATTCCTGGTCAGGGCGCATACAGGGTGCAACTGACAGATGTTTCTCTCTCTTCCTTCCTCTATCTCTCTTTCTTTCTCTCCCTTCCTTTCTCTAAAAATCAATAAAATCATATCCTTGGTAAAGATTTTTTAAAAAAAAAAAAAAAGGAAACAAGAAATCAAGTCTTCACTGACTACACAGTCTTACCCAAACCTACCACCAGGTGGTGCTAAGTGACTTCAATGAGAATATCATAATTGTTGGTAGCTTTACACTTTCCAACACATTTTTTCACTTTCCTGTCACAGAAATTCTCAGTCAACGCAATTTAGGCAACCTCCTATAAGAAGTGCCACCCCCAAAGGGATGGGTGCTGTGTCTCTCATCCTGTGGATTAGTATCCTGGAACTTGAGCCTGTGGAAACATCTGGAGGGCCTGTTGGAACAAAGCTTGCTGATTCGGTAGGTCCGGGATGGGTCCATGAGTGTGCAGGTCTGTCAAGTTCCCAGGTGCTGCTGATGCTGCTGGTTCAGAGACCTTCCCTGTAGGCCCCTGCTATGGAGGGTTCTGGAAGCATCAGATGTCCTAAACACAGGCAGAACCAGCTGCCACAGTCCTGCCCAGCTGGAGCCCTCAGGCCACAAGGGGCTCTCCCTCCTCTATCCCCCACCAAGTCCCACAGTCATAGCTGGCCTCAGTTTAGCTACTACTTTGTGCAGCCACTAAAACCTTTTAAAATCAGCAAAAAGCCAACCATCAACACCTCCTGAATAAGGCTGTGGAGGACCCGAGCCAGGGACTCAGGTGGACCAAATGTAGAACATTCTGACCCAACCTGGTACCCACCTTACCCCAGCGTGGTTCCTAGACTGACAGCAGCACCTGGGAACCTAGAAATGCAAATTCTTGGGTCATACCTACTGAGTCAGAAACTCTTGGGTAGGCCCAGCCACATCTGTATTTTAATTAAAGCTAGCTAAGCAAAATTCCAGTCCCCGTGGCCTTTGCCCCTTGGTGTTACACTCATGAATGTGTTCGTTACATGTTGACAGGGACTCTGCAGATATAATTAAGGTTCTTAATCAGTTGACCTTAAAAAATACAAAGATTATTCTAGTTATTTCTAATCACGTGAGACCTTAAAAGCAGACGTCAGAATAAGACGCACAAGAAAGATTCGCAGTGCCATGGCTGGCTTTGAACATGGAGGGGGCCACAACCAAGGAATGCGGGTGGCCTCTAGAACAGTGATGGCGAACCTTTTGAGCTCGGCGTGTCAGCATTTTGAAAAACTCTAACTTAACTCTGGTGCCGTGTCACATATAGAAATTTTTTGATATTTGCAACCATAGTAAAACAAAGACTTATATTTTTGATATTTATTTTTTATATTTAAATGCCATTTAACAAAGAAAAATCAACCAAAAAAATGAGTTCGCGTGTCACCTCTGACACGCGTGTCATAGGTTCGCCATCACTGCTCTAGAACAACTTCTAGCCAACAGCCAGCAAAGAAACAGGGTCCTCGGGCCCACAGGCACACAGAATTGAATTCTGCTAACCCCTTGATGGACACTGGAAGCAATTCTCCCCCGGAGCCTCCAGATGAGGGTACCCAGGCAGGCCAACATCTTTATTTCAGCCTGTGAGACCCAGAACCAGCCTGCCCAGACTTCTGACCTCCAGGACTGTGAGATAAAGGAGTGCTGTTTGAGCCCCTGCATCTGTGGTAATTCATTGTGGCAGAAAGAGGAAACTAACACAACTTGGGTTTCATCAGACTTACTGCTATAGTTTGTTACAGTAGTCGCCCCCTGACCCGAGGGGGATATGACCCAGGACCCCTAGTGGATGCCTAAAACTGAAGATAGTACCGAACTTTCACCTTTTTCCAGTTAAAGGAAGCACTTTACAGATTCTCTTTGGCATATACGAATTGCCAGCATCACTACTCTTGTGCTTTGGGGCCATTATTAAGTAAAAGAATGGTTACTTGAACACTGTGATACCACAACAGTGGATCTGATAACCCCAGATGACTTCTAGATGACTAACAGGCAGAAAACATATATAGTGTGGAGACGCTGGACAAAGGGATGATTCACACCCTGGGTGGGAGGGAGAGGGACGGCACAGGATTTCATCATACTACTCAGAACAGCACTCAATTTAAAACTAGCGGGTTGTTGATTTCTGGAATTTTCCATTTAATATTTTCAGACCACAGTTGACCGTAGATAACTGAAATCATGGAAAGTGAAACCACAGTTAAGGGAGACTAGTGTATATAATATAAACACACATATTATTATATAGGATATGCTTTGGTAATATTTTGATAATTGTTTCAATATCATTGGTTTCCTCTTCATTATATGTACTTTATTGTATGTATATATATTTAACATTTTTCTGAGGGGGGTCCATGGGCTTTTATTATATAGGATACACACACTTCTATATATACATATATACATGTACATATTACACAAATGTACACATACACACATGTGCATACACACACACAAAATACACACGCCTGCCGTCTACCCTCTCAGAGCCTCAGAGGAAGCCAAACACTACCAAGTTACCAAAGCGTGTACCATGGAAACAGGATGGAGCTTTTCTGTTGAGTTTAGTTTTCAAAATAAGATGTAGCCCCTAAAAGTGGGGGTGGAATTGAGAGTTTTCCACTAAGAAATTCTAAGCAGGGCAAATACTCTTTCCCACATTTGTAATCCAAAGGAGCAATTTGCAGTCATGAGGAGAGAAACAGGAAGCACACATTTGAGGAAGTGTAGAATAAAAATCCCAACATGTGTCCATTTCCTCTTATTTTTAAAAACAATGTTAAGTTTAAACTAGGCAACCCCGGGCACATAGGCGTGTTGAGTTTGTGAGAATCACTGAACTGGATACGTGTGCACTCCTCTGACACTGAATAAACGTGTTGTTAACCCTGGTTCACACAGGTGGCTGAATGCCCCACAGGAAGCTGTAGACAAGAGGACGCAGGGCCTACCTGGGCCTGCAGCTCGGCTCTCTGCGCCTGCAGGAGAGACAGGACCTCCCAGCCCTCCTCCAGCTGACTCTGAAGGGCTGTCGCCTCTCGTTCCATCAGGAGCTTCTCCTGCACAAAGAAGGCCAGACTCAGCACTCACACACGCTTGGTGTACCAAGGAATCCAAAAAGGAAAGGGACAAGACATGGGACCCCGTTATGTTCTGCATGTTTGTCCCCCCTCTTACAAATCCATATGCTGAAGCCCTAACCCCCCATGGGATGGCATCTGGAGGTGGGACCTTTGGGAGGTCATTATTTAAATGAGGTTATGAGGGTGGGGCCCCCAGGATGGAATTAGTGTCCTTATAAGAAAAGACACCAGAGCTCGCCCTCTCTTTGTGCTGCATCCTAAAAAGACAATGTGAGGACACGCAGGAGGGTGACATATGCAAGCCAGAAAGTGGGTTTGCACCAGGAACTAAACCTGCCAGCACCATGATCTTGGACTTGAAGCCTCCAGGACTGTGAAAAATACATGCCTGTTGTTTGAGTCATCCAGTCTGTCTCCAACATCTGAGCCATTAATGCTGTGAGGGCAAGTAAAGTGCAGAGACAGTGTCGGGAGACCTGTACTTTAGACCCGGTTGTGCCACAAACTGGATAAGAGATTCTGGACAAGGCCCCTTCCCTTCTGTCTAAAGGAAAACTTGGAAGGCAGTTTCTCATTGGGTTCTATTCTCTGTGTCTGTGCAGGCAGCCGGGTCAGTAGGACCCCTGAGCCATCAACTCTGCTAAGACATGGCTGCTTCACAAAGCAGAGGTCAAGGGCACAAGGGAAGCCAGGGACATGGTGAGGCAGCTGCACCACCTATCAGTGCTCCACGGAACGTCCTGGAGATCTCGAAACCTCTCCACTCTCTGCAGAACAGGCACCCGTTTCCAACACACCTCTCCACTGTGTATTGGGAAACGTCCAAATCGCTTCACGAGAGCCTGGCTGGTCAAGAGCAGTGCCTTCTGACGCAGGGCATGTGGCCTCACAGCCAGGCAAAATCAGAAACAAGCATTTTCCCAGTGCACCCGTGTTCAAGGCCACAGGCTTAAGGCGGCCCCCTGCTCTCCAACACCCTGCAAAGTGGCTGGAGCAACCACACAGGCAGAGAGACAGCTAGAGCAAGATGACACGCTAAAAGGGAGGAAGTGAGAGTGTGGCCCTGTGGCCTGACCCCACGGGGAAGGCAGGACTTGAGATGTAACTGCACAGGAACCTTCTCCCGGTGTGCAGTTCTGTGTTTCTGGATGCATGCTCTCAGTGGCTCTCCGTTTGTTTGTCTCTGTCCTCTTTGTTTCTCTGGGTCTCAGTCCCCACCTCAAAGATGCAGACAAGAGGGTGGCTGGGAGCAGAAGGGGCCACGTGCCCATGTGTACCAGGAAATGGAGGATATATACCACACTGCAAACTCTAGACCTGCAGCCTCGGGATGGAGAGACTGCCTCCCTCCAGCACCCTGCCCGCTTGTCTGGCTCCACCTTCCTCATCTCACATCCCTCCCCACACCTGCCTACAGGGTGCCACTCACATAGTTGGCCCTTGGATACTTATTAAAGAGGAAGGAAGACAGCCCTGCAGCTGTCACTGGTAACTGGCACTAACCGCCAGGCCGTGATGCTCCCTACCATCCTATATAAAAAAAGCCTAATATGCTAAGTGTCCAGTCGCCCATTCAACCAATCAAAGCGTAATATTCTAATGCTATGCTAAGGCAGTGGTTCTCAACCTGTGGGTCGCGACCCCTTTGGGGGTCAAACGACCCTTTCACAGGGGTCGCCTAAGACCATCGGAAAACACATATATAATTACATATTGTTTTTGCGATTCATCACTATGCTTTAATTATGTTCAATTTGTAACAATGAAATTGGGGGTCACCACAACATGAGGAACTGTATTAAAGGGTCATGGCATTAGGAAGGTTGAGAACCACTGTGCTAAGGCCACTCAACCGCTTGCTATGACGTGCACTGACCACCAGGGGGCAGACGCTCCAATCAGTAGATTAGCTTGCTGCTGGGGTCCGGCCGATTGGGACTGAGTGAGACAGGCTGGACATGCCCTGGAGCCCTCCCGCGGTCTCTCCCCGGCTGGCCAACCTCCCGCATCCCTCCCCGGCCCCAATCGTGCACCAGTGGGGTCCCTCAGTGGATGTCGGAGAACCTGTGCCCTCTCGAAATCTGGAACCCCTTGGGGGATGTCGGAGAGCCGGGTTCAGCCCAATCCCGCAGGCCAGGCCAAGGGACCCCACTGGTGCACGAATTTGTGCACTGGGCCTCTAGTAAACTTATAAACAATGCCACTCCCAATATCTAAAGATGTCACTCTGGGGCCATGGGGGAACCAGACAGAAACAAGACCCTCTGAAACTGTGCCTAAGCTCAGACCAAAAGACCTCTGTGCAACCACAGAAATGGCCAACCATCCACTCTCCCTGATAACACAAGTGATGCTGCTGAATTGCCAGGTACAGCTTTAGCCACACTCCATTTCTCTGCCCCCTTGAGAGAAATGATCAAGATACTCAGCCATAGGACCAGCCCCTTATGAGAGCACCCAGCCCAGAGCAGGGCCCTGCCTACCTGACCCTCCCCCACAGATACCCTGCAAGTCTCCACCGTGTACACCCACCCTTCCTGCAGTGAAAAATGAACTCAGCTTTATGTGACTACAGGTGTGAACCCAGTGGCCTCTGGTGAGAGGGCACTGATATGATGCTTACTGACATGTTAACCAGTTGACCTGTGTTCCTGTAATTAGCACCGCTAATTACACCCTCATTTGAGCAAACGTGGCAGACCTGTTTTTTAAGACATTAACAAGAATCAATGAAACAAACCTGAAAGTGACCGTTTAACTCATCTGTAGAGCTTTTAAGCTAAGATTAGTAAAGAATGTGGTATCTGTGTTTCTCCATCTTTAACATGCACATGGATCCCTGGAGATCTTGCTAAAATGGAGATTTTTATGCAAATTCTGCATTTCTAACAAGTTCCTGGCGATGCTAATGATCCACTAATGATCATTGATGCTCTCAAAGTAAGTCCAGACAGTCTCTATAATCTTACAACTCAGAAGAATTCTGTTACAGGGAAAAGATGATATGATTTTAAAAGCATGCTACGGCCCAGCCAGTGTGGCTCAGTGGTTGAGCATTGACCTATGAACCAGAAGGTTACAGTTTGATTCCCAGTCAGGGCACATGCCCAGGTTTCAGGCTCGATCCTCCAGTGTGGGGTGTGCAGGAGGCAGCTTGAGAGTTAAGTGGAGAAGGAATGTGGAATATTATTGGGAATAATGTTTTACATCCAAATCCCCATTTTTTAAAAGTCATCTTCATTCATTTTTATCCTTTCCTAATAGTTTTTAAGCCACTAACTTGCAGAGCCGGATCTTGAAAATATAGTCACTAATTACCTGAATCTCTCTGTATTCAAATTTTATTGTCAAATTCATATGAGGAATAAGAAAACCCAATCTAAAAATGAGCAAAAGATTTGAGTAGATATTCCAACAAAGAAAATGTACAGATGGCAAATAAGGACGTGAAAAGATGTTCACCATCATTAGTCCTTAGGTGAGGCAGGTAGAACCACAGTGAGATGCACAACATTCCTATTCGAAGAGCAACCAACAAAAGCAAATAAACACCTGACATGCCCAGTGCAGCCAAGATCCAAAGCAACACAAACTCCCAAACACTGCCGGTGAGGATGCAGAAAGGCTGCAGGGCATTGGAAACAGTCTGGCCGTTTCTATAAACTATACAAGGAAGAACAGTCCATGGTTTTCAAGAGAAAACTCCTAAGAAAACGGTCAGGGAAACAATTTATATCCTCAGATGTCTAAAGAGCAGCGTTCACAGTCTGAGAAGGAGAACAAGAGTAAACTTCACATGTGAACACAAAGCCGAGTGGGGAGGAGCTAACCCACCGCAGCTCCCTGCAGTCCATCCACCTGACACCTTTCCCCTTTCCGGGGGTGTGTGAACTAGGCCCAAGGTGCTGTAACAAGGACCTCCAGATGCACTTTCCTGCAGCCTGGGCCCCCGCTCTTACCTCCCTCGTCCCATCTGTAATGGCGGCTGCTTGAGGGGTGGTTTGGATGATCTGCTGCAGGAGGCTGTTGTAGGTCTGAATTTCCAGAAGATTCTGTCAGAGGGAAGACAACATTCTCATTAAAACCTGAGTTTCTCCCTCCGGGACCAGGTGACCCCAGGATGAAGGCTTCCTCATAGTCCACTGTCACAAAGAGCACAGGCCACGATCTTCACATCTCCAATCTTCACAAGATCAACGGGCCGATGGATAACAGGCTCGGTTTGCTTCATTCCCCATCAGTTACGTGCATGCTTTGCTGCTGTCTTCACAGGGCCCTGCAGACAGGGCTAAGGGGGGAAGCAGAGGAGGACCAAGCCCCAGAGGGTACAAAGGGCCCTTTCTGACCCCAGAGCTGGGCACTGCTTCAAAGAACAGAATTTGGTTGTGGGTCCCAGACAAAATCACTTGCTAGCTGCATGTGGCCGCAGGCAAGCTATTAATAGCTCCTAAAACTCAGGCTCTTCTATAAAAGTGGGATCACAATCTAAAGAGCACTGTGCCCAGCTCCGTGCGTGAGGACTGATGACACGTCTCACAGCTGTGCCCGCTCCAGGCAATGGTTATCTTGTTCAGGAAGTAGCTCAACTCCTCCCAATCCAGTCCCACCCAACCCAGGCCAGTGACTAGATGGCACAGGAGTAGAAAAAAACAGCCCTCTTACCTCAGGTGGGAACAGCCTAGTGGGGTGAGACTCATGACCCAGAGCCCCCAACCCAGCGGTGGGATCAGACTGAGGCTCCAGCTGAACCGGGGCCAGCCCAGTTCCCACCCCTATGCTCCTCTTCCTCCCTCCCTTTCTCCTAGGTGCTCTTCAGCCAAATAGCAATCACACAAAAATCACCACCTTAGGCCCTGACCAGTTTGGCTCAGTGGATAGAGCATCGACCTGCAGACTGAAGGGTCCCGGGTTCAATTCCAGCCAAGGGCATGTACCTTGGTTGCAGGCACATCCCCAGTCAGGGGTATGCAAGAGGCAGCTGATCGATGTTTCTCTCTCATCGATGTTTCTAACTCTCTATCCCTCTCCCTTCTTCTCTGTAAAAAATCAATAAATATATATATTTTTTAAAATCACCACCTTAGGCTCTGCTGACAGGGAACCTGACCTAAGACACTATCTTAAGAGGCTGTTGTTGGGATCCAATGAGATAATGCACAGAAGTGTCATAGTGTGAGCGCTCACCATTATTATTATTATTATTATTATTATTATTATTATTACTAGAGGCCTGGTGCACAAAATTTGTGCACTTGGCGGGGGGAGGGTGTCCCTCAGCCCAGCCTGCACCCTCTCGCAGTCCGGGAGCCCTAGGGGATGTCTGACTGATGGAGTGGGCCTAAGCCATCAGTTGGACATCCTTAGTGCTGCCACGGAGGCAGGAGAGACTCCTGCCACTGCCACTGCTGCTGCCACTGCACTCTCCAGCCATGAGCCCAGCTTCTGGCTGAGCAGTGCTCCCTCTGTGGGAGCACACTGACCACCAAGGGGCAGCTCCTGCATTGAGCGTCCACCCCTGGTAGTCAGTGCGTGTCATAGCAACCGGTCGTTCCGCCGTGGGGCCAAAACCGGTTCTCCAACATCCCCAAGGGGTCCCAGATTACGAGAGGGCGCAGGCCAGGCAGAGGGACCCCACCAGTGCACAATTGGGGCCGGGGAGGGAAGAGATGTGGGAGGTTGGCCAGCCAGCGAGGGACCGTGGGAGGGCTCCAGGGCATGTCCAGCCCGTCTCACTCAGTCCCGATCAACTGGACCCCAGCAGCATGCTAACCTACTGATCAGAGCATATGCTCCCTGGTAGTCAGTGCACATCATAGTGAGCGGTTGAGCGGCCTTAGCATATCATTAGCATGTTACACTTTGATTGGTTGAACAGCCAACCAGACAACCAGACACTTAGCATATTAGGCTTTTATTATATAGAATTATTGTAAATTGCCCTGAAGAATGTTTTGAGCTCCTTAGAAACTGCCCCCAGGTACTGCTCCCAGGATTCCAGAAAAGTACAGCAGAGTCAGGAGGGCAGGAGAGGAGGAAGAACCAGGCTGGGCCTGATGGAAAGTTGGAGGAAGCCAACAGGAGGGAACATCCCTTCAGTGCACAGCAACAGGACTGCCTTTGTGCTGAAGCAGGTACACACTGAGGCAGGAAGAGGAGCTAATGCTTGCTGAGCACTGGCCAAGGTCCAGGTTACACCAGGTGCTTCACCTGCATTATCATGGAGCCTCAGTTTGGGTTTCCCCAGAAGAAGACTATTATACATTGAATGCTGTGTCCCTCCCAATTCACAGGTGGAAGTCCTAACCCCCAGTAAGATGGTATCTGGAGGCTGGGCTTTTGAGAAATAATTAGATTTAGATGTGGTCATAAGGGTGGGGCCCTGGGGTGGGATTGGTGCCCTCATAAGAAGAGGCATGAGAGCTGGTTCTCTCTTTCTCTCTCTCTTCAAGCACATGCCCCTGGGAAGGGCCAGGTGAGCACACAGGGAGAAGAGAGGAAGAGGGCCCTCACCAGAATCTCACCAGGCTGGCCCCCTAATCTTGGTGTCCCAGCCTCCAGAACTGTGAGAAATAAATTTCTGTTGCTTATAAGACACTCGATCTGTGGTATTTTTTTATAGCAACTCAAGCTGACATCAACAGATCCTAAGAAAATGGTCTGAGTGCAGCCCCACCAGCGTGGCCCAGTGGTTGAGAATTGACCGATGCACCAGGAGGTTATGGTTTGATTCCCGGTCAGGGCACATGCCCAGGTTTCACGCTTGATCCCCCAATGTGGGGTGTGCAGGGGGCAGCCAATGAATGATTCTCTCTCATCATTGAAGATTCTATCTCTCCCACTCCCTTTCTCTCTGAAATCAATAAAAATATATTTTTTAAAAAGAAAAGAAAACGGTCTGAGTGCAAATAGTTTACTTAGAAAAAGATGCCAGAAAATGTAAGTAGTAGAGTGAGGAGGTGAGATAGGAAGGGCAAGGCAGCCAAAAAGGGGTGTTTTACCAGGTAAGTTACCACTGTGAGCACTGGGAGCTGAGGCCCAGTGGGGATCTCTGGAGGCCGGTGCAGAACAGCAGGTAAGAGATAGCTGGGGACATATCCAGCAACTCACATCCATCACTGGCTAAGGCTGCTCCAGGGCATTCATTTCCCAACACTTCCCACGAGGCAGAGCAGCTCTTGCTGCCGGTAGAAAGTAGGGAGGCAGGGCTGCCTCTATTGGCAGTTAGAGGGAGGCCAGAGCTCACTGCAGAGGTCAGCCCACAGGGTCATGGCCACAGGTCAGCTACAGGGAGTTAACCACACAGCTTTGTAGGAAGGAGAGTCCATCATTGTCATGTTTTTTTGTTTGTTTTTTTGTTGTTGTTTGTCCTCACCTGAGGATATTTCTCCACTGACTTTTAGAGTGGAAGAGAGAGAAACATCGATATGAGAGAGATACACCAATTGGTTGCCTCCTGCATTCACCCGGACCAGGTCCAGGAATCAAGCCTGTAACAAAGGTAGGGGCCCTTGACCAGAATCAAATCCGGGACCCTTCAGTCCTCAGGCTGATGCTCTATCCACTGAACCAAATCCACTAGGGCTGTCATTTGCATTTTAAAGATAAAAAAGCTCAGAGAGGTTAGGCTATTTGTCCATGATCACACAGCTCCAGGATTTGATTTTTTCAGTTCATCAAGGCCCCCCCCCAAGTCAGGCCTTTAGGAAGCTGGTGGGTTAGGGGGCAGAAAAGAGCATTACATGAGAGGAGGCCCCTGAATGCCTCAATTGGCTCAGAGGAAGAGTTAAAACATATATATTGCATTTTCTGAGCTGAAACAATTTATAGGCTGTAGTTTATCCAAGACATATCTATGTAAAATCTCTCTGTGAACTGTAGTGTACTAGTTCCCAACACCCCACCCAACACACACACACACTTTTGCCTCCTCCTCAACACATGTCTGGCTCACTAAGAACTGTCTAGCAACCCACCCATCTCCCATTTGATTCTGGAGCAATGCACACAAAAGTAACCCAGTCTAGCAGTCTCACTTTTCAGCCACGAGTGCCCTGGACTGCCTGGGAGAAGAGCATCAGAAGGGCTGTGGTTACCTTTTTGTACCTGTCCTTTGCTGCACTGATATCGTCCTGCAGAAACTGGGCCTCAATCTGAAGGTGCAGATTGCGCAGTAAGGCTTCATCAGCTTCCTGCAATGAGAGAGCATCACACATCCGACTCTGTCGGGCACAGAGATGGGTGTGGAATTGGCCAGGTGCGTGTACCCACAGACCCCTTGGAGTTTTACTACAACGCAGATTGTTGTTCGTGGGTCTGGGAGGGGTCTACGATTCTGCATTTCTAGCAAGGCATTGGGTTAGCCCAGTGGTCGGCAAACTCATTAGTCAACAGAACCAAATATCAACAGTACAACGATTGAAATTTCTTTTGAGAGCCAAATTTTTTAAACTTAAACTATATAGGTAGGTACATTGTTATTAACTCAATTAGGGTACTCCTAAGGCTTAGGAAGAGCCACACTCAAGGGGCCAAAGAGCTGCATGTGGCTCACAAGCCGCAGTTTGCCGACCACAGGGTTAGCCCATTGGACCTGGTCTGGAATAGCAGTTCTCAATGGGAGTGATTTTCACCCTCAAGGGGACATTTGGCAATGTCTGAAGACATTTTATTGTCGCCACTTGGGTGGTGGGATGTTACTACTGGCATCTAGTGGGTAGAGGCCAGGGATGCTGCTAAATATCCTACAATACACAGGACAGCCCCACACAACAATCATCTAGTCCAAAATGGCATTAGTACCAGGGCTGAAAAACCTTGATTCATACAGATCAAGGACAATGTTAGGGTATATTTACCAACCAACAACCTTAAAATTTAAGTTACACCTATATTTGTCCTATTTCTCATCATCAGTGAGTTAAGTTTCTAAGACTAAGAAATAGTTTTCACTTAACACTGAAACCTTCAATTTAACCATTTCTCCCAAGGTCTGTTGCTCACCTCCCTGAGGCTATGTATCCCTAATGCAGCATGCATTTACAATGACTGCTGTGGTGAGCAGCATTCATTCCTTTAAAGTTGGAAATAACATTTATGACAGGAAGTTGAATGTTCTCACCAAACTTTTTGAGAATTCACCGATTTTTCTCTCATCGATCTTGTTTGAATGAACCAACTAGGTTGAAGAGCTGTTTGGGCTCTTAATAAGATAGTGCCATGACAACTGGAATTGACTTAAACACTTCAGTTGTCCAGTGCAACATTACAGGTGAACATTACCTGGACTCCTCAAGACATCTCTGCCATGCACGCCTGCCAATACCTGGGGCCTCGCTAAGTGAATTTTTACTGACTTATTAATGACTTCTTAAAAAAGCATGATGCATGTCAGCAATGGGCTCTCATTAATAAAGGAAGATGTGTGGTTTGGCTAAAATATTTAAGACACTCTCCACTCTTGCATGAACAGGGTTAAGAGAGTCAGGTATGTGGACTGGTTAAGACAATGGTCGGCAAACTCATTAGTCAACAGAGCCAAATATCAACAGTACAACAATTGAAATTTCTTTTGAGAGCCAAATTTTTTAAACTTAAACTATATAGGTAGGTACACTGTTATTAACTTAATTAGGGTACTCCTAAGGCTTAGGAAGAGCCACACTCAAGGGGCCAAAGAGCCGCATGTGGCTCGCAAGCCGCAGTTTGCCGACCACGGGGTTAAGATATTCTGAGACACTCCCACCATTGCACTAATGGGCTTAGGTTCTGGGAAGGCCTCTAGTCTGCTCTCTTAGGAAAGACACCTCGTTCCTTAATTGTTCCTGTAAAAGACCACTGGAGAAGGAAGATATGAGAATGTCTGGTGCTGACAATAAGAATACCAGGATTCTGACTCTGTTGGATTGCCTGCCTTGAATGAATTTTTCATGCAAAGTGTTGCCTTAGTTCCTAAAACACCAGAGAGCCGGGACTTCATGGAACCTAGAAAACAGATTGTATGAACTTTTGGTGGTCTGCAGCAAAATAAATATTACTAAGAAATATATGTCAACAATAAAAAATAAACTTAAAAAAAAAAAAGAAAGAAAGAAATAGACTGGCCAGCATGGCTCAGTGGTTGAGCATCAATCTATGAACCAGGAGGTCGTGGTTTGATTCCTGGTCAGGGCACATGCTGGGTTGCAGGCTCAATCCCCAGTAGGAGCCATGCAGGAGGCAGCTGATCAATGATTGTCTCTCATCATTGGATGTTTCTACCTCTCTCCCTCCCCCTTCCTCTCTGAGATCAATAAAAATATTTTAAAAAGAAAAGAAAAGAAATATATGCCTTGTGTGAATCTGGTCTGAAATGTCGCAAGATTGCAGGGGAGTGGCCAGCCCTCAACCAACTCAAACTTCTGAAGCTATTTTATCTACAAAAAGACCAACCTTTTAGTTTATCTTAAAGAACTAAAGAGTTCTACAAGATCAAATCAGTTAATTAGCAATCATTAGCAATGTATCTTAAAGCATTCCTTTTTGCATAGACTTATGCAAGTAAAAATTAAGTTATTCCAATACAGCAAGCCTCAGGCATGATTTTAAAGTCTTTCTAGTAGCCCCATTAAATAAAATAAAAATAAATGGGTAAAAGTAATTTTAACATTTTCTTTCACCAAATATACTCCAGATATTGTCATTTCATCATGTAACCAATATTTTTTAAAGTTATTAATGATAGTTTACATGCTTCCCCTTAGGCTAGGTCTTTGAAACCTGGTGTATATTTTATACTTATAACACATTGCAATTTGAATCATCTGCATTTCAGTTGCTCCCAGCCATGCCTAGCCAGTGACTCCCAGGCTGGACGACACAGCTCACCAGAATTAATCTTAGGCACAGTGGAGCATCTCATTCTTCCTCAGTGAGTCCTCCTGGTTTCAACTCCAAGGAGAATCCCCTAGTCTCTCTATACACTAATTTCCTCATACCTAATTCTTTCCTCTGAAGACTCTGAAATCCCTTCCTTTGTATCAGGAACACCAACAGTGGGTGACGAGACAGAAGGAAGGAAGGACCACAGACCCGAGCCTTTCTGTGGCAAGTATAGGCAGGAGTAGGGTTTTTGGGTCCGTGGCTCATTCTCCACCTCCCAAGGACAACCAGGGAATCTGTCTCCCAGGAGACAGACACAAAGCCAGTGTCTCTGGGTAAAGATGGCCCCTTCACACTTGATATTGGTGCCCCATCCATCTCCCCTGGTGTGGGGAGGCATGGGACTTGGTTGGAAAGTCTGTAAGGAGGATCTCTGAAAGGTCGGAGGCCTCTAGGGGACCTTGCTGAAGGCGGCAGCCCCTGCCTTGACTTTTCCAAACCAGTCTGACCCCCGGGGTGTTTTACTAGAATCTTTATGTTTAGACTTCAAAACGTCCTTGTATGAAAGACACTACAGATACAGGTGCTTTCTCAAGGATACTTACCCTGCTGATTGTATCTAGAGGTTAATTTTAGTTCAAGCTGTGGTTACAATAAAAGCCTAAGGAGGCAGGTGAACAGGGCTGTTTGCTCCTAAAGCAAAACAGTCCCTTAGCCTCTCTTTCACAGAAATGTGTGTCAGAGTAATTTATTCATCCATCACTCAGGGTCTGCCAGTCAGCCAGCCCTGGCACCCTGGGCACCCCCAAGGTCACACAGATATGCTGAGCACAATGATGGTGTCCTGTATCTCTATGGACTGGAGGCACAGTCCAGAAGTGTGGGTGTTAGCACCCCAGGAGCGACCCTGGGCCACTGAGGGACAGGAGAAAATGAATGAGTCCCTCAGCTGGCCCGCCCCCCATAGCAACAGTTCAGAGGTGAGTTCCTCAGTCTCAGAGGGTGAAATGAGAACTCAGCACTCAACTCTTGAGAAGCAGAGAGAAGCCCAAGACAGATTCTAGTCCCCTTGTCTTTAATTAACTTTCATTAACTAGCTGCATGACCCACTGGATCAGTCTGGCCTCAGCCTTCCCATCTGTGGGGCAGACTAGTTTCCAAGCTGCATTTGGCAGAGCCCTCAGGTTCCATGGAGTTGCTTGAAAGGGCTCTGAGGAAGGAGGGCTGCTAGGTGGATGGGGTGCCTGTCCCACCATCATGTCCTTAAAAGAGATCTCTGCTTTGGCTCCATACATTGGCTTCTCTTGAATATTTTGTTTAAAGGGTGTGGCTTTAAAAAGTTTGAGAATTGCTGGCCAATGTGGCTTAGTGGTTGAGCGTTGACATATGAACCAGGAGGTCATGGTTCAATTGACAGTCAGAGCACATGCCCAGGTTTGGGACTCCATCCCCAGTAGGGGGCATGTAGGAGGCAGCCAGTCAATGATTCTCTCTCATCATTAATGTTTCTATCGCTCCCTCTCCCTTCCTCTCTGAAATCAATAAAAATATAAATAAATAAATAAATAAATAAATAAATAAATCGTTTGAGAATCAATGACTTCTAGGGTTCCTTCTATTTCTAAAATTGAGTGTTTGGTCCCTTTATTAGCAATAGCACATAGTCCTTGAAACCCAACTTCCAGTTCTTCAGCTCCAGTAATTGTGTATCAATTATGGATGAATTTTTGGTCTAAATTAAGATGTTTGAGGACTCTGCCCCACCCCAACCTCAACAGTCATTCTTCCCCTACCTCCCTCGTAGGATCATGCCAAAACCACCACTCTTAGGTCCCATCAGCCAGCCCTTTAAAACGCCCAGCCAACATTTCTCCATAAAGGAGAGATTAATCAGGTGCTTCACAAGCACGTTCTCCCCCTTGGAAGACAATCACCTGATAAACTGCCCCAGAAAACTCCCAGAGGTGAGGAGGTGCCACTGGAATATGCAATTGCTGGCATGTTGAGAATTTGTTTGGAAGTGTTTTCTTTTGTTTGTACCAGGACTCAGAAATGTGTAGACGCTTGTGTTTTTATTGTGCTTTGGATACTGTCAGCTGCACTTTCCAAAGCTCCCCCAGCAGAAACGTCGAGATGTTTCCGAACAGAGACTCTGGGTCAATAATCTAGTTTTGGGAAGCATTCCAACCCTGATATGGTGTGTGCTTTAGATCTAGGTCAGTGGTTCTCAAAGTGTGGTCCCTGGACCACGCCACCTGAGAAATAATTAGAAATGTTAAATATCTGGCAGATCCCAGACCTACTGGGTGAGAAGGCCTCGGCTCTGGGCCCAGGAATCTGCATTTTAACATGAACTCCAGGTGCTGCCAATGCACACAGATGTTTCAGAGCCACTCACTGATCTGGGCCACTTCTGAGAAAGGCACTGGAAGAATAACTAGAATCTGATGAATCCTTGAAAAATCAGCCTTGCCAACCCCCTCATAGAAGGTCCTTAAAAATCCTGCTGTCTGTATCTATACCAAGCACCAAATCCAACCTCTGAGCAGCCTAATTAACACACACACACACACACACACACACACACACACAAGAATGAGCATTCAAGTTCGTTAAGATTTCTAGTTAATTAGGTTTACAAAAAAACAAAAACAAAACAAAAAAATACCTACTTTGATTCTGGATGCCAAAAAAAACATTCCAAAAATTTTTCGGTCACTTTCCTTCCTGGTGCTCAGACTGGCCTGGAGAGAGGGGCTGGGCATGTTGACAACTCTCCATCCTCTCTCTTCCCACTGCCTCATTTCCTGACTCTGCCCTCTCCCCTCCACATTCCTCCTCACTCCTCCTCTTCCCAGCCTCCTCCTAAACTCCCATTTTCCGGAACAAAAGGAAATGGGCATTGAGACTGAGTTGATAGCCAAAACCTTATTGATACAATATGTGTACACATTCAAAAATTTGTCAACCAAAATCATTGATATGACCAGCCAACAGGATGTGAATTATACTCTTCCATTTCATCTCCTTCTTCCCACTTGACGATCTTAATGGAGAGAGAACCTGAGGGTCCAGCCTTCACCTGCCAGGTTCTCTCTCAAGATCCTGTATCCTGTGGTAGAGGAGTGTGTGTTTGGGCGTGGGAGTTCACACAAAGATTTAGTTGAAATTACGAAGTCAAGAAGTAGAGTGACAGCAAAAGAAATAGGTGAATCTTGAAATACCACAAAGAGGAGTGTGGGTAACACTCATCGCAGCCATTTAGTTCACTCCTGTCAGTAATCTACTCAAACCCAAGGATATGCTCAGCTCACCTTGTTAAGCCGCTGAAGCGTTTCTTTTAGCAGCACTTGACATTCGCATTCATTCTCATACCTGCAAATTGCACACATAAGTAAAAGTTGAGCAGCTTCTACGATTCACAGAGTTGATCACACAATCAGCATTACATTTAATCCGATATGAGTATTATGCCCTCTCTTTTAGAAGAGATCCCTAATTTTAAAGCAGAAGTTGATGCTGCCTCTCCAAGCCCACTGCTTCCCAACCTCTTTCAAATCCTGCCACATACAGGAAGTGCTGACATGGGCATCGCACCTGGGCTAACTGGGAGCAGTAAATGGCCCAAGAGTCTTCCCATCCGGAGGCCCAGTCCCAGTCCCCCAGCATGTCCCTCCCAGCCACCAAGGATGAAAGAATGACACCTCAGCACACCTGGAATCCAACAGTGGCACAGAGCCTGGGAATCTGCCCTGCCTGACAACGCCATTGACCTGACCTTGTGTAGATTTCCTACACTCTGGTATTTACCAACATGTGTCGGTGTCTCTGGATTATGCCATTTAACCCTCACAAAACCCTGAAAGAAAGACGTATTCTTACCACTAAAGGGTCCCCCAAAATGTGCCATTCTGGCATGTGAATTATTTTGAGCTAAAGGCAATCAAGACCCTGTGGGCACACAGGAAACTTTTACCTCATCCTTAAAGAATTTAAATGAGGGGCCTTGCGCAAAATAAGAGTTGTCACCAGAAATAACGTTTTATGGTCTACCTATAGGGCAGGGCAATCCTTGTGGCATCATCCCTGACACCAAAGACCTGCTCTGAGCCACTGAGCAGGACAGGCTGGATGGGCCAGAGGGTGACCCTGGCAGGAAGGTGAGTGGGCGCATAAACACCCCAGCTCTTTCCCTCAGCTGGGACAAGTGAGGTGTGTCCTCCACCCCACAGGTTAGTCCCAGTTGCCATGGTGGGAACTTGCTTGCCGGGAGCCGGTCCATCCTTGCTGTTTCAAGGGACCTGGCATATATGGCATACTGTTCTTAATGTGTTTGCTCACCTTCTTGGCACTATGTGTTTTGACCAAGGTCACCTCTCCGAGAAAGGTTGTTTCCCCAGGTGGGGAACTTTCCCTGACGTTAGGGAGGGGATACAACCCCTTAATTAAGTGCCAGGCGGGTAGTTAAGCTACATAATCTTTACTCCCTGGAATGGAGATAAGAAACGCCCTAACCTTTGTAATAGAAATTGACAGGATTAAAATTGGCTGGTATAAATATAGATGTAACAAGACAATAAACATCAGATCATCAGATCCTCATCAGATCCTCGTCAGATCCTAACCAGAACCTAGCCAGAGAACATGGCAAAAGATCCTGGACAGAACCTGGCTACAGAACTTCACTGGAGAACCTAGACAGAACATGGCAAAAGAACCTGGTGACTGAACCTGGCTGGAGAATCTGGAGAACCTGAAGAACCTGGAGAACCTGGCTGGAGAACCTAACGAGAGAACATGGCACCAGAGCTTGGTTGGAGATCCTGACCAGAACTTGGTTGGAGATCCTGACCAGAACTTTGCTGGAGATCCTGACCAGAACTTCGCTGGAGATCCTGGAGGGAGAACCTCGCTATGCTGATGAACTGAAACCAGTTTCCATGTCATTCATTCTTCGCCGACTCCGTCCACACCTTTGGGGATCCCTGGACCCGTTGGGGACAGACCCCAACACTTGCTGAATAATGCACTCTGTGTTAGCTGCCTTCCCTTTCTGCCTTTCCTCACTCCCCAACCTGTGCTCCCTAAGGTCACCTCCCAAATAAGCTACTTGCCCTCAAGCCCCTGTCTCAGGCTCCGCTCCTAGGAGACTCCAAACTAAGAGAGGCATGAAATCTAATTAAAACACGGTTGCACAAGTTTTACATTTCACGCCAAGACGTCACCTTTAGCAGTTTCTTTTGTGTGTGGCTGTAATGGAGTCAGAAATTATTTTTTAATGGTTAATTAACTTTGAGAATAAAACTGTTAACAAAAATCTAATTTTCTCATTGCTTTTTCCTGCTAAAAATATCTTAAGAATTTCTATAGCTTAAAAACAGGTTGGATAAACAACGTATTAATGTGACTTTCATGCTATAGAAAAGTCTAGATATTATATTAAAGACAAGTATCTTCATTATAAAAATTCATGATAAGAATTCAAGATATATTTATATATATTCATATAAGTGAATATATAAATGAATTCATAAAATGAAAATACACTGGCTTTAATTATCCAATTGTTTTATACAACTGTTTTGGTTTTCAGCAGTTTGGATAATTGACTATGTTCACCATTGTATTTTGATGGTTTCATTTGTTTTTATTTCATTTTATTATATTTAGTCTTTGTTTGACATGTGAAAGAACTGATTTTGAAATTATTCAACTATCCAAATAAAAAATATGCCTAACAAGGCTGCATATTCCTTCGCATGCCTGCATTATTTTTATCTGCTTTGGCTAACCATCAAGTCCCCTCTGGAATGTGAAACCAAACTTAGTGTGTGTATACGAATGCATGTGGATGGTTATGATTTTTATAATAATTTTAAACTCCCACTACCCCAGCCAGAATATCAAAACTTCTCCAACAGTGCAATGAGAGGGAATAAATTAAGGAGAATTATTGAAGAAATCACAGAATCTGAAGGAACTGCGCCATGATGCAGACATAACCAGAACCAAGTGAAATCAGGAAAACTCAATATGATCGTTTGTTCACTGAGGGCTCAAGGGAGTCACAGTAGACTGTGGTCTATGTGGTGACCATTTGGGGATCAAGGGGATCCTGCTGGCCCATGGAGCTGGGTGTCTGAACCAGCGTACACTTCTCTTTGCTCTAGAGAACATGATCTTCATTTGAATGAGGTCTAGGTCTTATTACTGGACCTCACTCCATAGGAGTCCAAGAGTAACTTCTCTCCAAGACAATGTTCTAGAAAGCATATGGACTCAGGGCAAGAAAACCTGAGTTCAAGTCCTGCCACCCAAGGACCCTCTCCAAGCCTCTGGATCAAAATTAAAAAAAAAAAAAAAAACCCAAGAGGGACTGCCTGTCTGGCGTGGCTCAGTGGTTGAGCATTGACCTATGAACCAGGAGTCACAGTTTGATCCCTGGTCAGGGCACATGTCCATATTAAGGGCTCGACCCCCCAGTAGGGGACATGCAGGAAGCAGCCAATCGATGATTCTCTCTCATCATTGATGTTTCTCTCTCCTCTCTCTCTCTCTCTCTCTCTCTCTCTCTCTGCCTTCCTCTCTGAAACCAATAAAAAATATTTTTAAAAAATCAGAACGACTGATTGAAATGAAATCAATTATTTGACCTGATAAATATGCTCAGTACACAGCAGTGAATGACCTACCCAAGACTCAGACTGAGAATGTGGAACCTGAAAGGTGAACATGGTGGATGATGCCCACAGGTAGGCTAAATAGCCATCTCCTACAGTGATTACAGAAAATTGAATTTATTTAAGGAACACAGTGGGGGGTCATATATCCAAAAGGAAGGGCTGCACAGCACCAAGCCAAGGGAACACTGGGTGGATGATGGCAGCACCCAGGAGCAGGAGTTTCCCTTATATGGGAAGCTTTTGTTGTCAGTGGGTCGGGGGCTGAGCTGGTGAGCTCATAATGGGGTGGGATGCAGGTGTATGATCAGGTGCCTTCAGGACCGTTTTCATCCCTTGTATGGTCTGACTCCTGGTGTCCAGCGAGCTTTTCCTGGTTTTTTGTTATCTTCTGGTGGGAAGTGTGCAAATGTCTGTTAAGGATTGTATTGCCCTATAGGCCTAACATTTCCCTCCCCTTTCTATTTGTTAATAATTATTTTTAATTGGGGTGAAGGTCTCTATCTTCTGTCAGTGGTCCTAAGGAAGCAAGACCCCCTGGTGCTTGAATAATGCATAAGGGATATATGAATAGTTACCCCACATATCAGAAACCAACCAGCCGGCAGCTTAGTATGTCCATTACTATGAGGGAGGGTGAACTTATCAAAACAATTTATACTGTCATCAGATGCTGAAAGACAATAAGTAGAACACCTAGTAAAAGCCAGACATTCGCCTCAGTGTCATTAGCTTGTTTGTGTGTGCTTGTGTCCTCTTTTTCCTTGTGCAAGCAGAAAACTTCTACTCTTCACCCCTTTCTTAAATAAATGCTAATAACACACTAGTCTTGTTCTTTTACAATTGCATAGTATCCCATTGTATGAACGAAGCACAACTGTGTAACCTGTCTCCCGTTATTAATCAGCATGTAGGTTGGTTCCAGGCTTTTGCCACTGCAGATCCCACGGCAGTGAATATCCTGGTAGGCGTGCCCCTTGACACCTGCTGGGCTATCGTAGTAAATTCCTTGATGGAAATGACTCTGCTGAGTCTAAGAGCACACGCATTTAAAACTTGGAAAGATGTTGACAAATTGCTGAGTATCCTTTTCTTTTGAATAGCTCGTTTTAACACATTGTTCATGCTGTCGGAAGGTGGAATCATGCCCCGGACCAGGGCTTCTGAAACTTCAGTGTTTAACTTCTTAAACTACGAACCACTGGGGGGGGGGGTGTCTTGTTAAAATGCAGTTTCTGATTCTAGGAGCTCTGGGGTGAGTCCAAGAGTCTCCCTTTATAACAAGCTCCTAGGTGACGCCAATGCTGCTGGTCCATGGGCCACACTGACTAGCAAGACCCAGGAAGGCACACATTGAAAAGATTTCCAGGTGTTGGCTGTGATGCAGTGAAAACCATTAGGCTCAGCATGTCCATCACTTCAATCCAGTCCCAGGGCAGCAATTCACTAGCTGAGTGACCTTGCTCCAAATCCCTACATTTTCTGAGCCCCAGTCTCCTCATCTGTTAAATAGGTGCAGACAAATACAATCTATAACTGGCTGTGAGGATTAAATAACATTAATGCATTTCAAAAATACTGTGGTCAGCAAAAGAAAGCCAGACACAAGAGCCATCTGTAATATTCCGTTTTTGTGAAATTCTAGAACAGCAAAATTAATCTATGGTGATAGAAATAAAAACCTCTGGGTTTTTTGTTGGGGGGGGGCGGCGCGAATGATAACTGAAGATTGACTTGGAAAGGGTAGAAGGGGGATTTCTAAGGTAGAGGAAATATTTTGCTTGTTTTGATAGCAACATAGGTATATACATTTGTCAAAACTCACTGAACTGTGTCCTTAAAATCTGTGCATGTTGTTATATGGAAATTATACCTAAATTTTAAAATGCCTTAAAAGTAAATGATACCATTTCATGTAAACTGTGAAGTACCATCAAAAGAGAAGCTAGTCTTGTCTTAAGGGAAATGGAACATGTGCACCAGATACTCACTCCACTCAAACCACATAAAGGATATGTGATCATGAGGACCCGAAATCTAAGATATGGCCCTCCAACCTGGATTAGCAGCCTGCTCTCAGATCCCTGCCGCAGGTGCCGTCCCCGCCCTGCCTCAGTTTCCCCCCACGACCAAGGCTTACTTGCTCCGGTACTCGTCGAACGCGCGCTGCGCCTCTGCGCCCCGGCGCTCCAGCCGGGCGAGCTCAGCCGCCAGGTCCCGGGCGCGCTGGCGATTGCCTTCGACCTGGCGGAGGAGGGCGTCCTCGGGGCCGGCCAGCTCGCCCAGGCGCTGAAAGGCATCCAGCTGCCGCCGGAGGACGCCGTGGCGCTGCTCGAGCGCGCGAGCCCGCTGGACCTGGGCGGCCACGCGCTCGCCGAGGCCCTGCAGCTCCGCCAGGTTGGGCGCGGCGGCTGGGTCCGAGGCCAGGCGGCCCGGCGCCTCCTCCTCGGCCCGCTCGTACCTCTCCTGGCGGGTCTGGAAGACGTAGCTGCGCCGGTACATGGCTCCTCTGCGGCGAGCGCGGGCAAAGCCGGCTCCAGGGGGCCCCTCGCGGAGCCAGAAGCCCGTTAAATAAACAGCGGAGGCCGCTGGCACGCTGCTGGGACGTTCCAGAGCTGATCAGCTGTCATGATCAACACGGTGCCCGGCCTCAGGGAGAATAAAAGAGCAGCAGGCATGCTTTTGTGAGCTGGATTAACGGACCATACAGCTCCCGGGCTTGCGAGGTTAAGTTGGGCAATGAGGTTTCTGTTCCGTGATTGTTCAAGTCCGTTGTTGTAGGATTGAATGGAAGGTCAGGGGGACAAGAGGAGCGTGACCTTCTTTTGACTGGTTCCACTGGAATTGTGAAGGAAGCCCAAGGGAGCGTTGGACTAGCTCAAGAGCCCAAGGACCCCTAGCTTTGTCTATGTCTCTTAGAGTCAAACTTCAATTATAGAACTTTAAACAATACTATGACATAGTATTGTTTAAAGTGGTCGGCAAACTCATTAGTCAACAGAGCCAAATATCAACAGTACAACGATTGAAATTTCTTTTGAGAACCAAATTTTTTAAACTTAAACTATATAGGTAGGTACTTTGTTATTAACTTAATTAGGGTACTCCTAAGGCTTAGGAAGAGCCACACTCAAGGGGCCAAAGAGCCACATGTGGCTCGAGAGCCGAAGTTTGCCGACCACTTAAATTAAGCAATTCTTTTTCTTAATTACAGTATACCTTGGTGTTTAGGAACGCTCCTTACGATAGAAATTCGTACCATGGATGCAAAATAAAATGCTACGACTCAAGCCTGGCTGGCGTGGCTCTGTAGCTGAGCTTTGACCCATGAACCAGGACACCATGGAGGCTTCCCGGGTCAAGGCACATACATGCCTGGGTTGCCAGCTCGGTCCCCCGTGTGAGGCATGCAGGAGGCAGCTTATCAATGACCCTCTCTCATCATTGATGTTTCTATCTCTCTCTCCCTCTCCCTTCTTCCCTAAAATCAATATATATATATATTTTAAATTCCACGACTCGGTAAATTGTGAGGTGTGGCATTGCCGAACGTTCTTACCTGTGCACATTTGTGAAGAATCTACTCTTTGTACAAAAACTTAGGAAACAGATGCACATTTATTATGATGTCACCCTTACTCTCCTGGATTCTGACATCCTTTCTGGAGTAGGAGAAACAAATAGAGCTCCATCAAGACATTTGCTTAATAGATTATTTGAACTAAAGAAAAAAATCCTTACAGCCTAAGATTTAATAAATTGGCATACTCTCAATTAAATATTATAAAAGAATTTTTGGCTACCATGTTTCATTTTAATTTGTATTATGGAACTAACAAAGCTACCCTTTGACAAATTTAAAAGCAAATTGTGGGTATTGAAATAAATAATAGCATTTGATGAAAAATTTACTAAATATAAATATTTTCTCATATCTCCAATTTTTAAAATCATTATCAAAAGGCTATTTTTGTAAAAATAAGGATTAGTAGTACCATCTGATTAACAACTGTATAGATTGTGTATAATTATACTATAAACTCATGGTTATCAAAGATCAAGAAAATTACACATTTCTTTATTGGTTTATTAGGTTTATTATCGCTCCAAAAAGACTGCAACATAATAGATTCAGTCTAGAATGAAGCTATGTAAGGTCCCAAGTTGTGTTGGTGGTGTGGTTATTGTTTTATTATATTTTCTTAAGCCATTACAAATAAATGTTATGATCAAATCAGAGAGAGCCATATGAGTATATATATGCAGGTATACAAATACCATGCTGATGGCAAGGTAAATTGGTTTCAAGAATCCTAGAGAGCAAACTAACATAGAACAAGGGTTATAAAATCATTCATGCCCTATGATATCATGTACCAGGCAGGTATCACTACAGAACAAACTGACCCCAAAACTAAATGGCATAGAAGAAGTATTTATCACTGCATTCCCAGGTCTGCAGGTTGGCTGGAGCCGCTCTGCTCCAAAATGTCTCTCATCCTCTTAGTGACAAAAGGACAAGAGCATGCCCAGGCACACAAGCTCATTCCAAACCTTTGTTTGCATCATGGCCACTAACATCTCATTGGTCAAAGCAGATCACACGGCTACAGCCAAAGCAAGGAGGCAGGGAATAGGCATGGCAAGGGGGTGGGTGTGTAACTCCTTCACACTGAAGAATGGGGACCAGAAACTCAGTCTACCACACATAGTAATCCCATTTGAGAATAAATATATCCCAGAAACATAACAAAAGAAAAAATATAATTTCAATTTATTCCAGTCGAACAAACACTTAGAAAATATCTATTCACACAGTATAGTCTTAGAGAGATCAATATTGAACAAGGTCAAGTCCCAACCTTCAAGATGCGGGAGGACAAATTCCTACCCAACTAATGAAGACACTGTCAACATAAGAAACATCTAAACCTGTAGAGAATTGTAATGAGTTTATTTGAGCCAAACGGATGATGTACCAGGGAACAAGATCTCAAATGCTAGGGTGAATAACAGTTTTGCAGCTTCTTTTACGAAATTAAGGTGGGAATGTAGGACAATTGGAGAAAGCGAGATGGGGATTGGATTACAGGGTAGTTAAGAAGATATGTGCTCTTTGGGGGTTAATAACACTTGAGGGACATTACTTCTAGTATGTCAAAGATGAGCTAACTGTATACACTAGAGGACCGGTGCACGAAATTTGTGCACCGGGGGTGGGGAGGAGTGTCCCTCAGCCCAACCTGCACCCTCTCCAATCTGGGATCCCTCTCATAATCCAGGACTGCTGGCTCCCAACTGCTCACCTGCCTGCCTGCCTGATTGCCTCTAAACACTTCTGCCTGCCAGCCTGATCACCCCCTATCCACTCCCCTGCCAGCCTGATCGACGCCTAACTGCTCCCCTGCCGGCCTGATTGCCCCTAACTGCCCTCCCCTGCAGGCCTGGTCGCCCCCAACTGCCCTCCCCTGCCGGCCTGGTCACCCCTAACTGCCCTCCTGCAGGCCTGGTCACCCCTAACTGCCCTCCCCTGCAGGCCCAATCACCCCCAACTGCCCTCCCCTGCAGGCCTGATTGCCCCCAACTACCCTCCCTTACAGGCCTGGTTCCCCACAACTGCCCTCCCCTGCCGGCCATCTTGTGTCCACATGGGGTAACCATCTTGTGTGTTGGAGTGATGGTCGATTTGCATATTACCACTTTATTATATAGGACTAGAGGCCCGGTGCACAAAAATTTGTGCACTCTTGGGGAGGGAGGATCCCTCAGCCCGGCCTGTGCCCTCTCACAGTCTGGGACCCCTCGGGAGATAACGACCTGGTGGCTTAGGCCTGCTCCCAGGTGGCAGAAGGGCAG